GTGTCATTTGTAAGCTGCTTCTCTGAAAATAAGTTTGCGAGCAGCTAACAGATACAAAAGCTTTTAATCCTGGCTTAAAACAAAGAGGTCAGGCAAGGCTTCATTTCCTTGCAGGTCACACACCTGAGAACTACTCTCAAGGCAGACTTGGATCCCTCGGCTTTGGGTGTCCAACACTGGCCCATCTTTCTGGGCTCTGCCATTCTCTGGAGGGATTTTTCTACAGTCTTGGCTGTTTGCAAAGTGACTATTGATTCACTGTCACTGGGATGCTATAGTCTAAAGGGTGAAATATTATGAACTCTTAATCATAATATATCTATGGAATACTTTTTAAAAATCGATTGAGAATTAACTAAAAATTTAATTAAAACTTGTGAAAAAAATGCAAAGACTGTGTTTTATGATTTTCACCATAATTTCTAGGAAAACTGTCCGTTTTCTTATAACTTGATAGTTACCTTATTTCAAAGTATGGAAACTTAGAAGAGCCGAGATGACCGGGTCATGTTTTCTCAACAACAGCAAAATCAACCAGCAGTTCTGTTTGGAGAATTAAACACGCATTTTCCTACAGCAGTATAACTCTTTATGTACTTCACCTGCACAAAATAAAAGATTTTTTGGTCAACAGAACGTGAAATGTTGAGAGGCAGCATGTAAGTATAGAAGGAAAATGAAGGCCAAGAAACTGGGAACTCTGCAGGTGTTCTGACAATGATCCAACTTTTTAAAAGCAGTCTCTACTCCCCTTCCCTTTTTTTTAAATCATGATAGAGCATGTGCACACATGAGAGAGCTAAATAGAGAGAGAGAAGCACCCTCTACTGGGCTCAGTCATTTCATGATCCCCTTTAGTACTCTTGCTCCCAAGATCCTGAGCACATGCACACATACCTAGCCTATTTCCAGGCCAATTGGGTCAGTAACTTGACCCACAATTGACATATTTACAACTTTACAGTCAGTAAGCTACCAATTGCACCACACTGACTGAACAAACAATTCACTTTTTAAAGAACATTCATTCAGCCCCTCTGAAGCCAGACATCTAATTTTTCATTTAGGTTTCACTCAGATCCTTTGTTCTACCAGATCCCATCCACATGACCCCTGTTTCATTGCCCTATCTGAAAGCTTTTAGTTTTTCAGATCTCTTTTTCCTATCACAATTAATATATTTACCTGTGTATTGTCCATCCCTCCACACAGGCACATGAGCTCCATGCAAACAATGTCTACTACCATGTCTCAACACTGAATGACAGGCCTATCATATACTATATAAACTGAATATATTTAAGATATATTATGAGATTATATTGATATTAAGTTACTATATTCTAAATAATAATAATAATTGATATATAATATCTCAATATGTGCAATTCACTCATTTATCACATATACACACACACATCATATATATGTGTGTGTGTGTGTGTGTGTATATATATATATATATATATATATATATATAATCA